ACAACAAAGTAGGAGTCGTCTCTGATCAAGTTTTGGGTTTCCTTAGTTTTTGAAATTTTTTTTTAAATACATGAGCAGCTATCATATATATGATATATATCATATATATATGATATATACCTTTTTGGCACTTTATTTTGCCACACTTAAAAATTTCAGGCTTTTTATAAGCTTGTTTTGATTTCTATATCCTATATATTTATAGCACCTAGATTTTAACAAAGCAATATAGTCTAAGCAGAAAGCCAGAAAATGAGTGGAATGTTTGTACAAATTGCAATACGGGTATTTGGTTTTACTTTAAATATGAGATTTTTGGAAATCAAAAAAGGAAATCAGATCATTTCCCAGTGCTCTTCCATATTTATAGATGCAGTTAATGTGTCACCAGGGCTGTTATAAACCTTGGTTTTCAATTATAATTCCCAGGCGTTATCACAAGACTACTTTAAAGAACAACAGCAAAAGCTTTCCCAGCAGATCATTCTTTTCAGCTAAATAAATGCTGCCTGACCTGAAGTTCTGTTGTCCTTTCTATGTTGGGTTAAAAAAAAGGTTTTTTGCCTGTATAGGTATTTTTAAATTAAGCTGTAAGGCAGAATGCCTTAGATTCTTGAAATTCAATTGAAGTGTTACAATTAAATTGCCATTTGTAAACTAGGGCTGTGCGCAGAATTTGTTACCCATCAGGAGGTATGGCAGGGGTTTTGATGGAAGATTTTAACACGTACAATGTAGCTGTGTTCATTTAGGTAGCTTGGGAGTGGAGAGGGATCCTGTCTCATTTTGCCCTTTTAATATATATATACATATATATATTTTTAAACAGCAAAGTTATCCATGGAAGAAACCCGTCACATGAAGAATTTGGTTATCAGTGTGTGCAGTCACTTTACCACAGCATGATTTTGAATAGAGTGGTTGGGGACAATAAAATATCTAAATGACACTGGCTTGTACTGGCATTGCAGCTTTGAAATTTCAATGTAAAAAGTCTGTAGCTATATAATTGACAAACACGATCCTGTTTTACAGATTCTTTTTACTAATAAAACACAGAACCGCACAGCCCTATTGTAAAATAAAAACAAGTTTGTGCCTCTGATTTCAAAGGTGCTGTGATGTATGCCTTTGTGTGGAAAGCAGGGCAGGTAAGGCTTGGGAAGGGGAATTGCTTGGGCTAACTATGCAAAATGAGCTGTCAGGTTTCTCTTCATCTTTTCTTGTAAAACTCCAGCTGTCTGGGTTTTGTTAAAAAATCTACTGGGAATTTATTAACAAAGGAATAAGCAATGGACATATTGCTTGTTTAAAAAAAAAAAAAGAATGGGAGCTGTTTACACTTTAATGCATTGAACAATCCAGCAATACTTGAGAAACACTACATATACCGTGTGAGTGTTTTGAGGAGAGAGAAGTGTTGTCAATCGGGTATTGAATGGTTTCTTTACTGTCACAAATAAAAATGTTTTAACAATTTAGTCACTTGTGCATGTAATACTTCACTGAGAAAAATCCTGTCCTTTTCCCTGCTGCCACTTTTCCGCTCAATTCAAATCATTCTCCTCATTTGACAGGGACTTTATTCCTTCTCTGTGTGATTCTACCAGTCAGAAGGAGAACCATTCACCATCATCTCCCGCTTTTTAACACATGTATAGTAGTCCTTTTTTAACACCCTGGCACCTGCCTGTACAAACAGAGCTGATGAACTTCTCATGAACTCTGCTAAATAAATTGCTGGCGACTTCAGCAGATGTTCCAGCTATTTAGATCTCTTGGATGAGATCATGCCGTAATTTGTTGAGTCTTAAAGCTGTGACTTATTTTTGAAGGGCTCTCACTGGTACTGCTTGAGTAACAGTTTTTGAAAAGTGTTGCTGTAGCTTAAGAAAGATTGGATTAAATTACATACTTTGTTTGGCTGAATGGTTGACTTTGTCATTTAGCTAACACGGTTATGTAGCAAAATGTCACGTGCTACTAGGCTACATATTAATGATTCACCAAGTACAAGGGGGAAAACTAGGCATGAGCAGGTTAAGTGGCTAGTTCATGGTCACACAGCCCTCGCAATTAAGAGTAGAGCAGGGGTGGGCAAAATGTGGCCCGCGGGCCAGATGCAGCCCGCTGGGCCATTCTATCCAGCCTGCGGAGACCCTAAAAAATTTAGAAAATTAATATTTATCTGCCCCTGGCTGCCTGGTATGCGGCCCTCGATGGCTTGCCAGAACTCAGTAAGCGGCCCTCCGCCCAAAATAATTGCCTGCCCCTGGAGTAGAACCTACATTTCTTGACACCTAGGGTCTTTTTCCTGCTGGTGAAGCCCCTCCATCTCTTGGCAAACTGGAACAATGTAGACTGGTTTAACTTCCCTGCAGAGATGTTTTACATTTCATGTGCAAACTAACCTCTCACTGGGCACGTCTACATGTACAATTAATGCTATTTGGACTTACTGCACAGTAAGTTACTGCTCAGTGGGTGCATCTACATGTTCATTAATGTGCTTTTCCTAATGAACATGAAATTCAGTACTTCCAATGTGAGGTAATAAATTAATGCACTTTAGGCTGCCCTAATGCGCAGTAGCAAGAATACGTGCTTTTTTTTTTTTAGTGACACTTAATGTGCCGTAGCCTGTTTTTACTGCACCTTAGCATATTAGCGTGGTTTTTTACATGATGCTTTATTGTGCCATTAAATGGGCTACAGCACGTTGTAGTGCATGTGTAGACGCACCTACTGAGATCAAGAATCATCTAACCTTGTTAGAATAAGGCTAATGATCCAACCCCATAGTCCAGATCATATAGGGTAGGAATTGCTTTGTCTTCCAATCAAGGAGGCCAGTATCATGCAATGTTTAGAAAGACTTAGGCATTTACACAGGTAACAAGAACATCCTGAGTTCAAATAGTAACTTTTTAAAGAATAACCAAGCATCAGAAGGGGATATAATTTAAAAGTGTGTGGAGAAAGGAAACTAATTTTCAGAACTTAAGTCAAAAGTTCAGATTTGGGTATTATTAACCAGCTGAATTTGCGTTAAGGTCTGTTTGGTCCTGTCCCTCATAGACTTTGAACCTGTGTTGTTTTGAACGTGCACTGTGCTCGTCTCACTACTGTGATCTGTGCAGTCCTGCCATCATCTTGCCTTAGCTGCTCCTCTGACTTTGACTGTTCATAACTTGGATCTGGGTTAAATTTTACACAAACACTGGATAAAGACACAGATTGCTCATTCGTAGCACACTAGCACACAGAGCTGCTAATTTGTTTCACTTTAGCTGGTCCCCCCCCCCCCAAAAAAAAAAACCCAACAAAAAAAACACCACATCTTTTGGCAATGCTTGCAGCCATCCCAGACAGGACTCAAAATAGCACAAAGCTGTCACTGCTTGAAGACTGATAGATGATTCACCATTGTACCAGAAGCGTTCCTGCCTTGGATGCTTGCAGGACCACTGTTCTTCTGGATAATTAACTTGATTATTTCACCCCTACAAATGAGATTGTAAGAGCCACAACTTCCCAACACTGCAGTGAATGCTTTATATTCAGTTATCTTGGATTGCTGATTCAAAGTTAATTTCATAATATCATGTTTTATTGGTGATTTTACTTTTGCAAGTCTTGTGATTTAAGACCAGACTGGATTTAAAATGCAACGTATAGTAATTTACCATTGATTTATGTCCCAGTTCAGAAATGTTCATCAGCCAATGTGTGTTATATTGAATGCAGCAGATCTCCATCTTGTTTACATCTGATGATCCACACAGAGCCACTTTTCTGCTTGGGGCAATTAGAAGCAGCGATTGGTGGGACAAAGCTGCCCTGCCTACACGCTCACTACAAGAATCCTCTGCCTGCAAAGGCCTCCAGAGCAGAGGGGAGATACTGCCTTCTCAAACCATGGCATGTCTTGTGTTCAGTTGGGTGCAGATGAAAATCTCAACTGCTGACTCAACTAAATTGAGCAGCGCTGAGGCTTCAAGAGGGTCTCTCCCTCGTGGCAGTTTCCTCCTTTCTGCTGCGCGATCGATACAGGTGCGACTAAAACCATCCTTCTCCTTCCAAAGCTGCCTGAGGTGAATGGCTGTGTGGTTAAAGGCATTGGTGGTTAAAGCACTCGGATCATCCCAGTGCTGGCAGATCTCATGCTGGCTTCCCTATTCAAATCAGCTTCCTGCCTTGAAACATCACTCCTGTTGCAGTGCTTGGGCAGAGAGAGTAGATTCATCTTTGAATGACTGTCCCCATGGATTTCATGCTCAGCAGGCACGTGCCTAAGATTGGATTCTGCGAGGTATGTAGCAGTTCTTTCTACAAGATTGTAAAGTAGCAGGCAGTGCCACCTGTGCCTAGCATAAGAGGGAGGGGGTTGATTAATACTTTTGGGGTTTCGAGTCTGTATCGG